GGTCAAACATAGACAAGAGCGAGCGGAGGCTTTTCTTTTCCCCTCGAACTTAGCGTGTCTGTCTACTGTATCGGTCTGCATGCCTGTCTGAAAGAGGTCCGAGGGCCAAGGGGGAAATGTGAGAGTGTGCCTCTCCCTTCTGTAAAGTCACGCGTCCAGCTCGGCTGTGGCCAACTGTATCTCTCTGCAGCGCTCTTCTTTTTTTTTTTTTTTGGAAGACGGTTTCCCGCTGCTCAGAGGCGTGTGCGTCTTTTGTATGCGGTGGATGAACCCTGAGCCAAAGCCAAGAAAGGCCACAGCCAAATATCGCTCGCTCGCTGTCCCTGCTTCGAGCCGTACCATCACCACCCCTTCATACGGCCTTATCACCGCCATCATCATCGACTAGCAGCTCGTCACCGCCTTCGTAGCTATCAGCAACACCCTCTTTACATCCAAGAGACCCTCTCACCCTTCCCTGGACTCCTCTTCGAGCCATCTCTGGTTGCCGAGCGTCGCGATTTCCGCACAGCAGCGGCCGAAGCATCTTTAGACAGAACATCCAGCCCGAAGCTCTTTTCCCTGTTGTACGGCTGCCACCGCTCATCAACATGCTCCCCGCCCAGCGCAACAAGATCGACATCTCTTCGTTGAACGAAGAAGAGCAAAAACTCTTCCGACTCTACGGCAAGCTGCCCAAGAAGGACCTGCTCCAGAACAAGCTCAAGGAGCGCAAGTACTTTGACTCGGGCGACTATGCCCTCTCCAAAGCCGGCAAGGCGCCTCAACAGTCGGTCGGTACCGCCATCCCCAACCCAGAGATGATCCCGCACGCCTCGACCGTCACCTCTCCCGGTGTCAATGCCGTGTCGCCTCCCGGCTCGATGCCCGGTCAGCAGGGCGCTCCTCAATCCGTGCCCGTCAACGTCCCCGGCGCCGCCAGTCTCGCCTCGCGTCCACAGGTGAGCGCCTTCCCCATCAGCGGTGCCGGCTCGAGCCCGGGCAAGGAGAGCAGCTCGCTCGGACGCGAGGAGCACGTCGTCAACGCCGACGATGCCATGCAGGACTAAGAACCAACATCGCTCCAGCATCGTGCAGCCATTCGGCCCTGCTGCTACACCCGGATCCACGCTTCGGATCGTGTCTCTGCTTCAGAGATGCATGCAAGCGCAGCTGCGATTCGAACACCTCCTATCACGTCCACAAGATTCTTTGGAAGAACCTCGGAAGTCGTGCCCGCAGACCACCTCATCGCAACTCTCTCCCACCTTCCCACCATCAGACTCGCGCTCTGATGCTCTTGCCGTGACTCGTGCAAATAGAGACAGGGTCCTGCCATTTCACAAAAGATCGTCAGGCACCTTTGCTCTCAAGCATTGCATTGACCAGCGGCATCCGAACATCACACACGCACACACACGCACGTTACGATCGCTGCCAAGCTGCAGCTCGCAAGATTGCGCTCTGCGATCGCAGATCTCAACTCTACATCGACGAACCTCGAAGCTCATGCACGCCTCAGAGTGTCACCGCAGCTAGCTTCGCTTCGCCGCATCATGCTTCGAGACGGTTGGGAGGCCAGGGGAGCAGCAGTTGTGTCGTTTGCACTCAGATCGCTTTCCGCTGGCTACCTCGATATGGTCATCGAACGGCATTCTCAGAGCTGATGCTTGTCTCTCTGGCCAATACCAACCCAGGTGTACACAAACTCGAACCTTGTCGCTGCCATCGAAATGGCTCTCATCTATTCGGATCTTTGACGACATCGGCCTGCTTCGGCCACCCATTGTATCATCGTGTCTCGTCGTGTTTATCGTGTACCGACTTTGTCTCTCGTCTTTTTTGTCTCTCGAGTTCCGTTCGCAATGCAGAATCCAGTACAACGCAAGCTCGCAGCCTTTCGATTCGATGCGATAATACGCTTAGCTGAGCTGGGAGTCGTCAGTGCCACAAATCGTGCGGTCAGTAGTGTCGAGCGGAGAAGACGAACGTGAATTTGATTTTTCGGGCCTTCTTTTTTCCGTGCCTTTTTGTGCAGCATTTCGACAAACGAACAACGAAAAAGGATCAACGAGGAGTAACGAGGTCGATATCGTAACAAGCTCCAAGCATTGTCTGCATCGACCGGGTGTTACGCTGTCAAGATACGCATCGACCGCTGCATAGCACCAAAGACCTTCGTAACACGGCGCCGACATTCCAGTCTGAGCCCACTGTTTGCTCAAACCGGGCGGTGCCCAACGCAAAGGCCAAAAAAAATAAGGAAAGAAAAAGAAAAGGAATGCATCGAAAAAAGAAATCGGGCGGTAACCTCTCTCGTCTGCCACCAACGACCCCGCCTTTCGCATCCAGTGACCATTTCCCCGCACCTTGTGGGTACCCCGCCTTTGCTGATGTCGGAGCTTGTTTGGTGGCCGACGCCTCCGGCAGGTCTAGCTTCCGAAAGATGCGCTTCTCGGCATCATTGCAGCATGGATGGAGCACCCATGTTGGGTGGACACCTCCGCGGACGGTCGAATCGCCGCGTCGTATCGCTTGCGCAAAATCGATGATCTGCATAGATTACAGCGAAAGGCTGCTGAAAAAGGCGCGCTTACAATAGGGTTGACTCTTCACCCCGCACTTTGGATACGAGCAAACAAAGCAGGCCTTTGCCATCAGCAGCTTCGACCGTCGCTCCTAAGCGGTAAGAAGCACAGCGGTGACAGAGTCCAAGGATGGCCTGGGGAGGTGTTATCCAGAGTGGAGCTCTGCTGGCTGAGAGCACAGAGCGAGCGAGAGGACAAAAAAGGAACCTCGCTTGCGGCCACCAGAAGCATGCACGTCAACGCCGCCATGTTCTCTTTTGCTGGCTTTCACACCCCACACAAATTTTGCGACAGGTTACCGCCCAACGCTCCTCGGAGGTTGCTTGCTGTCCTTCCTCTCTGTCTGACAGGCCAGAGTCCGGATCGGAAGGCATCCATATATAGAGCAGACCTGCTGCGAGTCAGCCGTCTCCGTCTCGGCACCATCCCTTCATCGGATCGCATCTACGATACGTAACTTGCCGGCCTTCCATCCGCATCATCCTCGTCGTTCACACCACCTCAGGGGCGACTCGCAACCATGCAGTACAAACTCTCGAGCTCGTCGCTCTTTGACGAGTCGGCGCTGGGCAAGCTCGTAGCTGCCGCCCACACCCACCGACCGACCACGCTCGTCGGCTATGTCGCTCTGGCCATCGCCACGCCCATCGTGCTGATGGGCCTGCTCATCACGTTCTCCCTCGCCAAGATGCTGTACCGCACGACGATCTACCACTACTACATCTCCCCACTGCGACATCTGCCCGGACCCAAGCCCAAGCCCTTCCTGGGCAACATGGCCGAGTTCGTCGGCAAGCCGGGAGCAGGCGCCGAGATGAGCTGGTCGCGCCAGTTCGGCAAGGACGGCGTGTACCGCAGCACGTTCCTGTTTGGTCGAGAAGCCGTGCACTTCCAGCGACCCAAGGCGCTGAGGCAGATCCTCGTCGAGGATCCGTACAGCTACCCGAAGCCTGCGTTGGCGTGGAAGCTGCTGGGGCTCATTGCCGGGTACGGCCTGTTGGTGGTGGAAGGCGACACGCACCGAAAGATGCGCAAGACCATGAACCCGGCCTTCTCGCTCACCAACCTCCAAGAACAGTTCCCCGTCTACTACAACAAGATCTACCACTTGGTCAAGATCCTCAAGAAGCAGGTCGACGAGTCTCCCGACGACCACGCGATCATCGACTGCGACAAGTGGGTCAGCAAGGCGCTGCTCGACATCATCTGCGTCACCGCCTTTGGCTACGAGGCCGACTCGCTCCACAACCCGGACAACGAGCTGGCCTCGGGCTACGAGACCGTGCTCAGCCTGCAGAACGGCCACAACCAAGCCCGTCTCAACATCCTGCTCAACCTCCCGTTCGGCGATACGGTGCTCGACTGGGCGTCGGACGTGAGCGACTGGTCGTTCATGCTGCCGTACTTCCAATCCGACTCGATTGAGGGAACGACGTTCAAGCTGCTCAACGGCATGCACCGCATCAAGAAGGTGGCCAAGCAGATCCTGTACAAGCAGATCGAGTCGGGCGAGCGTGCGGGCCAAGCCGGGCAGTTCAAGGCGATCATCGACATTATCGAGGAGACGCACCTGTCCGAGAACGATGCCAAGCCCAAGAGCCTCAAGCAGGCCGAACGCGATATGATCACGCAGGTGCTGACGTTCCTGGGCGCAGGGCACGAGACCACCGCCTCGGGCGTCGCGTGGACGCTGTGGAACCTCGCGACGCACCAAGACATCCAGGACAAGCTGCGCAAGGAGTGCAAGGAGCTCATCGACCAGGACGAGCGCCCGCCGTACTCGGCGATCAAGGGCCTCGCCTACCTCGACGCGGTGATCAACGAGTCGATGCGCGTCACGCCGCCCGTGCCGCGCACCGTGCGCAGCGCCAGCAAGGCTTCGTACATCGACGGCCTGTACGTGCCCAAGAACACGATGCTGCCCATCTCGAACCGCGCCATCAACATGGACCCCGAGGTATGGGGCCCCGACGCCGACGAGTACAAGCCCGAACGCTGGTTCAACCTGCCAGACAAGTACGACAGGACGTTCTCGATGATTACATTTATTGCGGGCGCGCACGCCTGCATCGGCCGCACCATGAGCTACCTCGAGATGAAGGCCGTGATTTGCATCCTCGTGTCCAACTTCAAGTTCGAGCCCGTTTCCAAGGAGCAGTCGCCCATCATGGACACGTTGATCACCATGAAGCCCAAGGGCGGCCTGCCGCTCAAGGTGTCGCGGATCTAGAGCGTCGGTGGAGGGTGGATTGGCCTCGATTCGCTTGTGGATTGCTTTCTTCTGCTTGTATAGTATCGTATCGTCCAGAAAGGTTTATCATACACCGATATACGTCTGTGTAGTTACTTGAAGCGCTGCCTGGACTCATGGCAGCTGTGCATACGAAGACGCAAAAAAGAGAGGGAACAGCGAGAAATCTGGCAAAAATCAAATGCTCCGTACTGGGCTCGAACCAGTGACCTTCTGTTGTATAATACTCAGACTGATCTAAAGCACTATATATTAGACAGATGCGATAATCCAACTACGCTAACGAGGCTTGTCGGTGGCAGGAGACAATGTTGCGTACAAAACACCCTCTGAGTGGGTCGTTGGGTTCCACTGTACGTGATCGACATGATCTACATCCGAAGGCTTGCCCGAGACACCAGCTCGTCCATTCGCCGCCATCAACTACTGCACTTCCATCGCTACTACTCAGTCGGTCTGGTTTCCTTCTGAAGAGATCGCAGGTGTTAGCGAGCCTCGATTGGGAGCCTGCTATGCGAAGGGACTATCGAAGCTGCTGCTTCTCGAGCGTCAAGGTTGTGCGTCAAGAAAAAGATTTTTTCTTTTGTCGGACGGGAAGGTGGAGAAGAGAGTCGAATTCTTCTTGACGCTCTCTTTTCGCCTTTTTTTTTTTTCAATAAAGGCATGCGAGAAGAAAGTGCTACGATTGTGCGCATTGCTGGATGCAGCCTCGTGACTTGGGAACAACCGAGTGTGGTACGGTTTGCCAGACGTTGGTTCCCGCATACCAACAACACACATCCCCCCGCACACACACACACACACAACCATGTCGACTGCTACACAGAAGACCGCTGCGGCTGCGGCTGCGGCTGCGGCGCCGGCTCAGAAGGAGGAGAGCTTCAACGACAGCATCCTGCCCAAGTACAAGGTGGCGGGTGAGATTGCGGCCAAGGCGATCAAGGCGGTGATCGCGGCGGCTGCCGAGGGCAAGACGGTGCTCGAGCTGTGCAACATCGGCGACAAGGTGCTCGAGGACGAGACGTCGGCCGTGTACAAGGGCAAGAGCATCGCCAAGGGCATTGCGTTCCCCACCACGCTGTCGCTCAACAACGTCGTGTGCAACTACTCGCCCCTCCCCACGGACGAGGAGCAGCTCACGCTCAAGAAGGGCGACGTCGTCAAGGTGCAGCTCGGCGCGTACATCGACGGCCTGCCCGCCATCGCCGCCGAGACGTTCGTCGTAGGTGCCGACGCCACCAACCCCGTCGACGGCCGTGCTGCCGATGCGATCAAGGCGGCGCTCGTCGCCGCCGACGTCGCCATCCGCGTCATGAAGCCCGGCGTGCTCAACACCGAGGTGAGCAAGGAGATCGAGGCCGCCATCAAGCAGTTCGACTGCAAGGCCGTCGAGGGCATGCAGACCAACCAGTTCGCCAAGAACGAGATCGACGCCAAGAAGAAGATCGTGCTCAACGCCGAACCAGGCTCCAAGCCCGACACGGTCAAGCTCGAGGAGGACGAGATCTACGGCGTCGACATCTCGGTCACCACCTCGGCCGACGCCAAGACGCGCTCCGACGACAGCAAAACCACCATCTACCGCAAGACCAACAACACGTACCTGCTCAAGCTGCAAACCTCGAGAAAGGTGCTGTCCGAGATCCAGAAGAAGGCCGCCACCTTCCCGTTCAACCTCAAGAGCCTCGAAGACGTGCGCCGCGCACGCATCGGCGTGCAGGAGTGCTGGAAGCACGGCCTGCTCACCCCCTTCCACGTGCTCGAGGACTCGGACAAGAAGGCCATCACCGCCCAGATCTTCTTCACCGTCGCCGTCAACGCAAAGGGCGCCATCAGGATCACCCCCGCCCCCACCTGGGCTACCGAGGACAACCTCAAGCCCACCAAGCAGGTCACGGACGACAAGATCAAGGCTCTGCTCTCGACGGCTGTCCGCCAGACCAAGAAGAAGAACAAGCCCGCCGCTTCGGCCTAAGTTAACGTGCTCCACCTTCCAGGACCCCCTTGCATCGACTGCCAATTGCATGACCTGTCCACACCGCGGCAGCTGAGACCGTCGCACAAAAAATACACCGCCTTTCCATCGCACCTCTCGCAATGAAAAGAACAACAAACAGCAGATCCCGAAACACAACGTCCGAACCCAGCCTTCCCACTTGAGCCCTCACACACACATCTGAGTCACATCTTCTCGTCATTGCAAATGCCTCTGAGCACGTCGATCGGCTCACAGCGCCAGATCATCAAACGCATCCGCATCCTCGGGCTCCATCATCGTGCCCTCGTTCTCGACCATCGCCGCATACGCCAGCATCTGCCTCTGCGCCTCCTCGGCGCCCTTGACCTCGTCCAGCCCAGACGGCATCCCACCCAAATCGAGCGCAGCCTGCATCGGGTCCGACAGCGCGCGCATCGTCGCCGGCTTGTCTGCACCCGCACTCTGCTTCTTGGTCGGATTGAACTTGGCACATCGCGCCTCGCTCAGGCCGTACAGATGCTTGAGGTGGTTGCGCAGCAGCAGCGCCGTGCCGGAGATGACCGACATCTTGGCGATGGTGATGGCGTCGACGTGCGTCTTGGACGCGCCGGCTGATGCGTCTTCTTCGTCGGCGTTGCTGGGCTGCGCTGCGACGGGGTGGTCGGTGGTGTCCATGGGCTGTGGCCAGTTGAACGTCTGCGCGGGGTCCACGGTGTCCGCGAACGGCGGAGGTGCGTCGCTCGCCAATTGCAGCTGCCATTCTCCCGAGAGCCACGGATTGCGAGACATCTGGAAGGGGCTGATCAAGTCTCCTCCCAGGCCAGGCACAACATCCGCAGACGGCGGAGGTGGCGTCCTCATACCGTCCCCCACGGCCTCCGTCGGCGCCGAGATCGAGCCAACATCCTGCTTGGGCAGATGCGGCTGGATCATGTACAGCACCTGCATGCCCGAGACAGCCAGAATCGAGCGCAGTTCGCCAATCACAATGAACAGCTCCTCCATCGTCTTGTAGTCGAGCGTCGCGAGGTTGTCTGCCATGAACCGCGCAAACAACACTTCTTCCATGCTGCAGTCCGACGCCGCCGTATTGACGTCGAGTGCCTTGACGATCTGCTTGAGGAAGTTGAGTCGTGTAGCGCGACGATCGCGCAACAGACCGTACCACGCACCGAGCACCGCGGTCGGCATCATGTCGACACGGAAGCCACGCAGCGTCTGCGTCTTGGACAGCTGCAGCTGGAACCGGAAGGCGGAACGTGCAGTATCGAGGAAACGCGCTTGCACGAGCGAGGCGTGCTTGGACGCCAGATGGCTGTGCAGCTCCAGGGCTCGACTGCGAAGTTTGGGGTCCTCGAGCGTTTCGAGCGACACGAGGTACGGCACACACTGGATCGGATGCGAAAGACCCTGCAACACGGTGAAACGCAAAATGTCGATGGCGGTGCGCTGCAGCGAAGGGTTCGACACTTCCAGCGTCGCCTTGAGCACGTCTTCCGAGTAGCGCTGCATCATCGCCGAGCCCACACCCGTGTCTGCAAACGTTTCCGTGTTGCCGACCAAGATCGTCATGTCGACACTGCCGGCATCCGGATTCTCGGGCTTGCGACGCCCTGTGCCTGCGGTGACGACCGCATTGTCCGGGTTGCGACGCAGCGAATCAGCGCTGAGGAAATCGAGGATGATCTTGAGCAGCGTCGCGCGGTCCTGCAACGAGCCGGATGCAAAGATGTCGTCCATCATCGCCGTGAGCGACGGTCGGGTCATGAGCGTGGGATGAGCACGGAAGATGAAGCCGAGATTCTGCAGAGCGATAGAGCGCACCGTCTCGCTGCCCGTCTTGTGGATATCGAGCAGAGCCTCCGACACCACGTCGATGAGCGGACGCTTGCTCACCGCATCGATCTCGGGCGCCGTTTCGGGGTACTTCCTGCGAATCTCGTCGTAGTCGGCATGCTCGCACAGCGAGGCGGTCAAGGACATCAGGGTGCTCCATGCCTTGTTGTCTTCGACCTTTTGACCCTTGAGCGCCATCTGCCGCATCGCCTGCACGCGCATGAAACAGGCTTTGAGTGTCTGGATCAGCAGCTTGAAGTTGCGCGTATGCGTGGTGATGACGGCGCAGTAGCAGGCGATGAGCTCCTGCAGCAGGTGCAGACCCGCCTTGGGCGGCGGTCGGTTAACCAGAGGGCGAAGACTCTTCTCGAGCGATTCGGCAAACGCCAATGCCGTCTTTGGCATGTGCGGCAAGCACGAACGGAAGATCCTCAGCAGCAGATCCATGATCTGCACCTCCTCGCTCGTCTGTGCTGCCTTGAGGTAAGGCAGGAGCAACTTGGCCTTCGAGATGGTGAGGATAGCAGGATTGGTCGAGACCAGCAGCTGCACGATGCGGATGCGCTTGACCGTGTCGATGTTCGACGCGCCACTCGACTCGACCAGGCTGTCGATCATGGAGTCGCCGAGCTTCTGCAGCTTGGCATGCAGTTCGGCCGCCTCGCTCTCCGACTTGTCCTTGAACAGGCGTCTGAACACCTCTTCCAAGGGCGAGGGACGCTCCTTGATGACATCGGCAACCGCCATGATGATCTCGATGGTGTCGGCCACCTTCTTGTCGACCTCGGTCTCTTCGGCCGCACTCTCGTCCATGGGGTCGCCATCGTGGCTGACCTGCTTCTGTGCATGTTCGGCATCGCCCTCTGTGGCTTCGGCCGCATCTGCTGGCTGCGACGGCAACGGCGTGGAACGCAACGGGCTTCCCCTGCGACGAGCGTACAGACGCCGAGCATCAATGTCCATTTCGAGCCACATTTCGCCGATGGTCAGAACAGCCATGTCCTGAATGACTGTGTCTTCGTCATTGATGCATCGGACGATGCGGACGCACGTGTCGATTCGGATCTTCTGATCGTCCGTCGCCTCGTGCATGCTCTTGAGAAGGCGCACCATGCGCTTACGCACCGACAGACCGGTGTCCAACACTCGAGCAGCGATCTGCTTGTAGTACTTGGGGATGTGCTGTGGCTTGCGGAGCAGGTAGCTGCCGAAGAGCGCCACCGCACTGTCTCTGACTGCGTTGCTGGAATCTCGCAGACGGACTTCGATGGCACTGCGCATCGAGTCTTCGTCGAGCAGATCCGGGTCTACCTGCGCGATGCGGTCGATGCCGCGGAGCGCCTTGCTGCGGTTGGCGATGAGCGGGTTGTTGAGGCCTTCCACGAGCAGGTCTCGCAAGACGGCATACGAGATCATGGAGCTGCTGGCGATCAGCGCACGTTCCGAGAGGTCGATGGCTTTCTCAAGCATCTGTG